TATATATACACATAATATAAATAAATGATTCATCAAATAATTATTAAAAGTTATTAAAAGTATTTTGTAATATTTTGTGATAAAAAAAATATTTAATTCAAATAAAAATATTTAATTAATATAATATTAATTATTAATAATATTTATCAGGTTTCCTGCAAACGTCACTGAATTGTGTCCGAATATCGTGCAAGCGAGCATTCAACTCCATCATCGTTGCGCTCAAATGTTTCTACCAACAGCCGTGAAGTTCCATTATATCTTCAATCTTCGCGAACTTTCTAACTGCTTTCAAGGTCTATTGTTCAGCGGTAATGAGTGCTTACAATCCTCGGTGGATCTAATCAGACTTTGGATGCACGAAACTCAACGTGTCTATGGAGATAAATTAACAGACGAGAAAGATACAGAAAGTTTTTTAAAACTACAATTCGATATCTTGAAAAAGAATGTGGAGGAAGTGGATGAGGGAGCAATTCTGGAGAAACCTAATATTTATTGTCATTTTGCAGGTCCATTTTTTAATTGTTTTTAATTTTTTATTGCTTGTATTTTTCAAAAAATTAAAATGTATGATTTAAATTTTGATATATTATACTAATCAATATTTGCGTTTTGTTATGCAAGATATAAATTATATTTTCGGATATTTTTGATAAAAATTATATAATGTTTAGGAGGTGTTGGAGAACCAAAGTACATGCCTGTCAAAGATTGGACAACTTTACATCGGCTGTTGTCGGAGGCAATGGTCAGCTATAATGACTTGGTAGCAGCTATGAATTTAGTGCTTTTCGAAGATGCTATGATGCACGTATGTCGCGTAAATAGGATCGTAGAATCACCTAGAGGCAGTGCTCTCTTAATGGGTGTAGGTGGATCCGGTAAACAAAGTCTTTCGCGATTAGCGGCTTTTATAAGTTCCTTGGAAGTTTTTCAAGTCCAGCTGAAGAAGGGTTACGGTGTAACCGATTTAAAATTAGAACTCGCTGCCCTGTATTCAAAAGCGGGCTTGAAAAATTTGGGTATCATGTTCCTGATGACAGACGCGCAAGTGTCAAACGAACAATTTTTGGTACTTATCAATGACATGCTCGCGTCTGGAGAAATTCCAGATTTATTTGCCGAGGACGAAGTGGAAAATATAATAGCAGGTTTGACAAGCAATTTCAATTAATATGCTAGATAATTAATCATGTAACAACATTTTCAAAAATATTTTTATTATCTAATAATTAAATTACATTTGTAAATTTTTATATTAACATTGTTGTTATTATTAAATATTAAATAAACGTAGATGTAAGTATTAATATATTTTATTAAAATTGAATAAGGGGTTCGTAACGAAGTAAAAGGCGCCGGTATGTTGGACACGCGTGAAAATTGCTGGAAATTCTTCATCGACCGTGTTCGCCGACAACTTAGGATAGTATTATGTTTCTCTCCCGTCGGTTCGACTCTGCGGGTCAGATCGAGAAAATTTCCGGCAATCATAAATTGTACGATGATAAACTGGTTTCACGAGTGGCCTCAAGAGGCATTAATGTCAGTGTCAAAAAGATTCTTGCAAGAACTAGAAGAGTTGCCAGAAACATATAGGTATAAAATAATAATAATGAAATATAAATAGAGAGGCAATATATATAATCTAAAATAATGAACACACTTTTGTGACAGAGAATCAGCTGCTAAATTTATGGCCCATGCACACACCAGCGTAAATATAGCCAGTCGTCATTATCTGAATAGTGAACGTCGTTACAATTACACGACTCCAAAATCTTTCTTGGAACAGATAAGTTTATATACTAGATTGTTAAAAACAAAAACTTCTGAACTACGTGCTAGAGTGGCTAGATTGGAAAACGGTTTGGACAAACTGAGGTCAACGGCCGTACAAGTGGATAAGTTAAAAAAGAAACTGGCTGTACAAGAGGTAGAATTACAACAGAAGAACGAAGCTGCAGACGCTCTAATTGCCATAGTTGGTGTTGAGACGGAGAAAGTCCAAAAGGAGAAAGCGATAGGTATGTAATGTCATTAGTAAAGTACAATAAGTTATATGAATTAAATAAAAAAATCTTTTTAAATGAAAAATAATATAAAAATAAAAATAATTTAAAGAAACATATATACATTTATTTATTTATTTAATAATAATTAAATTTATGGAGAATATTGTTTTATTTAGCCGATGAAGAGGAATCCAAAGTGGCTGTGATAGCCGATGAAGTCTCAAAGAAACAAAAAGATTGCGAAGCAGACTTAATGAAAGCCGAGCCTGCTTTGTTGGCCGCACAAGAAGCTCTGAATACTCTGAACAAGGCGAATTTAACAGAATTGAAATCATTCGGCTCGCCTCCTGGCGCCGTAACAAACGTCACTGCTGCAGTCATGGTTCTTTTGGCACCATCTGGCAAAGTACCTAAAGATCGCAGTTGGAAGGCTGCCAAGGTATTGTCAAATCGATTGGAACGATTCAAAAGAGAGTTTCTCTCATCATGATTTCGTCCAAATGACTAGTATCGAAAGCTATTATATTCTTTGTTTTCTCTATAAAGATTATGATGGCAAAAGTGGATACTTTCTTGGATTCCTTAATCAATTATGATAAAGAGAATATACATCCTGAAGTGATTAAAGCGATACAGCCATATCTTAAGGACTCCGAATTCGAGCCTGAATTTGTAAGATCCAAATCGGCCGCTGCGGCGGGTTTATGTGCCTGGGTAATTAATATTATCAAATTCTACGAAGTCTTCTGTGATGTGGAGCCGAAACGAAAGGCTCTTGCACACGCAAACGCGGAGCTGGCTGCAGCTCAAGACAAGCTTAGCGGTATCAAGCGAAAAGTAGCCGTAAGTAAATATTAATCTCAAAGACTTACCCATTCTTTGTGATTTAATACTTCAAAGTTTCATAAAAAAATTGCATAAATCCACACACTTTATTTTACACGCAATGTTTTCATTTAAATAACTGATTTCTTTTTTAGTCTTTAGAAGAACAATTGGCGAAGTTAACAGCGGATTTTGAACAGGCGACATCCGAAAAATTGAAATGTCAACAGGAAGCCGATGCCACCAATTCAACGATTGCGTTAGCGAATAGATTAGTTGGTGGGTTGGCATCTGAAAATGTTCGTTGGGCTGATTCAGTGGCAAAGTGAGATGATTTTTTTTTGCCATATATGATATTTAATAGCGTATTATTGTATCGATAACAAAGTGAAACTTGAAAACGTTCGTAGTTTTATGCAACAAGCGTCGACGTTACCCGGCGATGTATTACTGGTGACGGCTTTTATATCCTACGTGGGTTGCTTTACAAAACAATTCCGGCAGGATTTACTAAACAAACAATGGCTGCCGTTCATACGCAACGTAGAACCGATGATTCCAATTACCGAAGGCTTGGATCCTCTGTCGCTACTAACGGACGACACGCAAATCGCTAAATGGAATAACGAGGGATTGCCAAACGATCGAATGTCAACAGAAAACGCTACGATACTGACCAACTCTGATCGTTGGCCATTGATGATAGATCCACAGGTAAAACATAAAAAAAAAATTATACAAAGCCAGATTTAACTTGATAAAAAATCTTTTACAGCTTCAGGGTATAAAATGGATCAAGGAGAAGTACGGAGACGAGCTGAAAGTGATCAGATTAGGTCAACGTGGTTACTTGGATGTGATCGAATTATCATTAGCAAACGGATCTACGGTTCTGCTGGAGAATATCGGGGAGACTGTAGATCCCGTCCTGGATCCTTTACTAGGCCAAAATTTAATCAAGAAGGGTCGAGCCATTAAGATCGGCGATAAGGAGGTGGAATACAATACTATGTTTAGATTGCTGCTGCACACGAAACTAGCTAATCCCCATTACAAGCCGGAAATGCAGGCGCAAACTACGCTGATTAATTTCACGGTGACGAGAGACGGGCTGGAGGATCAATTGCTCGCGGAAGTGGTTAAGGCTGAGAGACCAGATTTAGAGGAATTGAAGGCGGAGCTTACCAGGCAACAAAATGATTTTAAGATTACTCTCAACAGTCTTGAAGATTCGCTTCTTTCGAGGTACAATTTTGCTTCGTCGCAATGTAATAAATTATATAAAAATTTTGCTACGCGAGAAAGAAACCTGTTCTTAAAAAAAATGATGTAAATATTATATATTATATATATATATATATATATATATATAGTATATATATATAATATATAATATATAATATTTACAATACATCATTTTTTATTAGTATTATAATAATATTTTATTGTTAATATTTTATGTATTACATTAATAATATATATATAATATATATGTATTTCCTTTTTTCTAACATATGCACAGTCAATAATGAATGAACTTTTAAATATAGAAATATGTTTGTCAAATAATAAATAGATATAATGTCTATAATTATTAATTTTAATATTATTATTTTAACAATAAGAATGATTTATCTTAGACTGTCATCAGCCGGTAGTAATGTCCTCGAAGATACATCTCTCGTGGAGAACTTGGAAACCACTAAGCGCACTGCTGCAGAAATCGAATCCAAGGTTACGGAGGCTCGTGGCACCAGTCGACAGATTGACGCGGCTCGAGAACTTTATCGACCGGCAGCAGCAAGAGCTTCGTTACTATACTTCATTTTGAATGATCTGAATACGATCAATCCTATCTATCAATTTTCGTTGAAAGCTTTCAGCGTAGTTTTTCAGAAAGCGATCTTGAAGGCTGATCCTGCGCCCGACGTTGCGGGAAGAGTGCAAAATTTGATCGAGTGCATCACGTATTCAGTCTTCATGTATACCAGCAGGGGACTTTTCGAGTGTGACAAACTAATCTTTGCCTCGCAAATGGCTTTCCAAATCTTATTGGTGAGAAACGAAGTCACGGCTAGCGAACTGGACTTTCTCCTGAGATTCCCTATAACGCCACACGTCACTTCACCGGTCGATTTCCTCACCAACACCAGTTGGGGTGGTATAAGAAGTCTCGCCACAAGAGAAGAGTTTCGGTAAGCAAGATGAGAAACTATTGTCCCGCTGTCGCGTTAGCCATCTACTTACCCCGTATGTTTGAAGAAATTTGGACCGGGACATCGAGAGTTCCGCCAAACGCTGGAAAAAGTTCGTAGAGTGCGAATGCCCGGAGCGCGAGAAGTTTCCTCAAGAATGGAAAAACAAGACTGCTATACAACGTCTGTGTATGCTGAGAGCTCTAAGACCGGACAGAATGACGTATGCCATCGCTGCGTTTATCGAAGAAAAGCTCGGTGCAAGATACATTGAGACGAGAACGATGGAGTTTGCAAAATCTTTTGAAGAGACTAGTCCCAGTACTCCCATTTTCTTTATTCTGTCGCCTGGAGTTAATCCATTGAAGGTGATTATTATAAAATATTTTTATCTTTATTGATTTTTGTACATAAGTCAAGATTTTTTAACACAAGAAATATGTATAAGGCATATACGATCACGGGCTATGTCTTAAACAACAGCGTTACAACGTTATTATAGGCAACAAAGCTATGCAAATTCGTTTGTAACAATACGTAGTCAGTGCTAGAAATAAATAAATAAATATATATATATATATAAATAAATATATATATATATATATATATAAATTCATAAAAAATAATTATTAGTTGTAAAAATTCGCCCAGATTAACAAAACAGCAGGTTATTAAATTTTATGAAAACAGAGAAATAAAAATAACAAAACAGTTTATTTTTTATATCTAGGATGTAGAAGATCTGGGTCGTCGTCTTAATTTTACATCAGATAATCAAAATTTCCATAATGTGTCTCTTGGTCAAGGACAAGAAACAGTGGCCGAACAGGCTATAGATATAGCAACCAAAAATGGTCATTGGGTAGTATTACAAAATATACACTTAGTAAAGAAGTGGCTTCCATTACTAGAAAAAAAATTGGAGGTCGCTGCGGAAGGTTCTCATCCCGATTATAGAATGTTTATGAGTGCAGAACCGGCTAGTACACCAGCAGGTCATATAATACCTCAAGTAAAAATATTACTATCTTATATCTTTTTAATAAAAATGATAATCTATTTAAATATCTTATTTGAATTAACTATTATTTGAATTATATATCATTAAATATTATTTGTATTTTATTTGTATTATTTTATGAAATTCTCATCTTAACTTATAAATTTTAATTTATTTTCTAAATTTGTTTAAAAAACTCAATAAAATTAACATTTGCTTTAACATTATTGTTTTTAACATTACCGATATTATACTTTTATTTTGTAGGGTATTCTAGAATCATCGATTAAAATTACAAACGAACCACCTACTGGCATGCAAGCTAATTTACATAAAGCTTTAGACAATTTTACTCAAGAGACTTTAGAGATGTGCTCTAAAGAAGCCGAGTTCAAAGCGATTTTATTCTCTTTATGTTATTTCCATGCAGTCGTCGCAGAACGTCGTAAATTTGGACCCCAAGGTTGGAATAAAATATATCCCTTCAATGTAGGAGACTTGAACATCAGTGTCAGTGTACTTTATAATTATTTGGAAGCGAGCCCCAAAGTACCTTGGGAAGACTTAAGGTTAGTATATATTTAAATTTTTAATTAAAGTCAAAAATAAATAAAATAGATAGGCTAAATACACAACATAATTTACAAAAGTTGCAAGATTTATGTGGAATATCATTATATACATAAAAAGAGAATTTAATTTAAAATAAAACTATCCTTGAAAATATGAAAAAAATATAGCAATAAATATTCTTGAAAAGATATCTCTTCGGAGAAATTATGTATGGCGGCCACATAACAGATGACTGGGACAGAAGACTTTGCGTATCCTATCTTGAAGAATTAATGCAGCCTGATCTGATCGACGGAGAGCTGCAACTGGCGCCAGGTAAATTAACGGGCTGTTTAATATTAATTAAAGATAATATTTTCAAGAGTCATCTGCGAATGCTAATCGTTATCTTGTTTTTCAGGTTTTCCCGCGCCTCCTAATACAGATCTGGCCGGTTATCACACATACATTGACGAAGCTATACCACCGGAATCTCCATATCTATATGGATTACATCCAAACGCGGAAGTCGGCTTTTTAACGACGACGGCTGAGAATTTATTCCGAACAGTTTTTGAGATGCAACCGCGTGATACCGGTAGCTCGGGAGGACAAACTGTTACTCGAGAAGAGAAGGTATCATTACGTATCTTTTTTGTAGATATATTAAGATAAATGACCAACGTACTATCTATAACGTACTGTATATCTTATAGGTGAAGCAAGTACTGGACGAGATAATAGAGAAGCTACCCGAGGAATTTAATATGACGGAGATCATGGGGAAAGTCGAGGAACGGACACCTTACGTGATCGTCGCCTTTCAAGAATGCGAGAGGATGAATTTTCTGACGACCGAGATCAAACGATCGCTGCGTGAGTTAGATCTAGGTCTCAAAGGCGAACTCACCATAACATCGGACATGGAGGATCTGGAGAATGCGTTATTCTTTGATCAAGTTCCACCGATGTGGGCTAGTAGAGCTTATCCGTCTTTATTGGGTCTGACCGGTTGGTTCGTCGATCTGTTGCTGAGAATCAGAGAACTGGAGACATGGTCCACGGATTTCGTAGTGTGTATATATATATACACAGAAATATATGACAATGACATGTTTTTTATGGTAGAGTTAACGTAATATGCCAACAAGAACAATTCTTTTCCAGTTACCAGCGTCGGTGTGGCTCGCTGGATTTTTCAATCCCCAATCGCTGCTCACCGCCATCATGCAATCGACAGCTAGGAGACATGAGTTGCCGCTCGATAAAATGTGCCTCCAGTGCGACGTGACCAAAAAGAACAAGGAGGAATTTACGTGAGTAGGAAGGATAATTAGAACGGAAGTTGAAGTTTCGCGGGTACAATCTAGACGGTCGCGAGAGCAGAATAGTTATCGCTCGGCTCGATTCGTCGTGTATATCGAGCCGAGGAGTGACTTCCTTCCCGATTTGTTCGCGTTAGGTCAGCACCAAGGGACGGGGCCTACGTCCACGGAATATTTATGGAAGGCGCGCGATGGGACGTCCAAACGGGAATCATCGTCGACTCCAGACCCAAGGAATTATATCCAGCGATGCCGGTGATTAATGTACGCGCGATCACGCAGGACAAACAGGATTTGAGGAACATGTACGAGTGTCCGGTGTACAAAACACGCACGCGTGGCCCGACATATGTATGGACGTTTAATTTAAAAACCAAGGACAAACCGGCTAAATGGACATTGGCCGGTGTTGCTCTCTTGCTACAAACCTAGATAAAATAAATGTTGTTACATTTAGCGATTAGTTAATGTTAATTGCTTGTACTATATGAACATATTGCATCGTGTACCTGATCGTGAGATAATAACAATTAATTAATTTCTTTTTTATCCTTTTTCTTTAATAATATAAATGTATCCTTTTTTTTTGGAATATTTTTACTTTATTAAAGTAGCATTTTTCACTTGTCTCTACTGTGCAAAGATCGATCTTAGAAATATTAATTAATTAAGACAGCTTATAATTGTTTCTATTTATTTATATTAAATTAATTATATATGTTTTATATTATATTTTGATTGTCTAATAAAGATACAATATGTTAATGTTCCAATATTTTATTTATAAGACAGTTATCTAGGTCTTATTATTACTCTTGAGTCTTTTGTTTTTTACCTTTGAGACGATATGTTTCGCACGATGTAGATCCGCAATTACATCGTAGATGTAAAGAAGAGAACGGCTCTACGGCAAAATCCCAAACGGTCTATCGAAGATGGGGTGCTTCTCGAGGTCGACTAATCGACCGAGAGTTAATAAAACGACAGATAGGAGGAGAAACGACGCGAGGTCTCTAAGGAGTATCTGGCCCGTTTCACGAACCGGCGCTCAGAGAAAAAGGACCGCGACAGAGAAAAAGGAGAAATTATCCGTCATTCGTCGAAACGGGAGCCCTCCCTGAAGACATCGGAGATCAATACCGGTATCCCGGAGTAAACAAAAGCCGATGCCTATCCACCAGCTACACAGTGTCGGTCAATTTAATTTAGTATTGAGATGATACTCGGGGAAAAAAAAGAAGAAAAATTTACCTGCATGGTGAAAGAAAAAGTCTTCGCATCGTCATAGTATCAAAAGATCTTAGTAAGATAAATTTTTCGACTTCAATGTATCATTCACGATTTTTAAAGTATAGTTCTTGTAGAATAAAAACTTCGTGTTCGAAATTGCGGAAAATATTTAATCTTTGTTACTGATTATTTTTTTACAAAGTAATATAAAGTAATTGAAAAATGTTATAAAATAATTAGAAAGCAATTGATATTGGTGGAATTGATATTAACATAATAGATGTGAAACTTGGAAAACTCCTTTAAAAATCAAAATTAAAAGCACTATTCACGCAGCTCAAATCTTTTTTCTGCTATTTCAATAAATTACGTCGGTGAATTAATTCAGTGAAAAAAATTGTGATATCCCAATTCAATTTCACACCCTTAACAAATTGGAACAAATAAAGAAACTTCACCCTAACGTTGATTTATATTATGTACCAATTCAATAAAAAAAAAGATTTTTTTTCCAAAGGTCGACAGCATTATTATTACTATTGCATTCTGGTTCACCCTAATGGTCCACGGCAAACATACAACGACTAATAGTACGAGCTGCACAAAGTCAACTCATGAATCCCATCGGACGGAAGGGGGACGAAGAAAAAAATTATCGTCCCTTTGACAGTTCCCGGTGATTGGCTCTCGGACACCCTCCTCGTGATACGTGGCGGATCGATCGGCATTCGTGCATCAGCTTCAATCACGGTTTTCATTAAGCCACATTGGACGGCGAAGGGTAACGTCAGCTCGAATAGCTGGTGTTTCGCGTGTCAGAAACGAGAGGAAGCTTCTGGTTTCAGGACTTGCGCTTCTAGCACGGACTTTGAAAGAAACTTCGACACGTAATTGGGCATCAGCTACTCGTTAGGCGATATCTCGAAAATAGTATCGGCTTTGTTGCCGAACAAAGAATAGGGAAACGAAAATAAGAAAAGAGAGAGAAAAAAGAAAATAAAAGGAAGAGAGAGAGAAACTGAAATTATTCAAAGTCTCGTTAATATTCTAATGCAAATGGTATTCAATATTGCACGTGATGATATAGAATATTTATTTTTGTATTATAAGAAATAGCAAGTATATTCGTATATTGCGATAATTTTTAAAATTGCTTGTACAACAATGTCAATAAAATGTTATTAGTATTACGATTTACATTGTACGTAAAAAAGAATATAAACGTTATAAAAGTTATATAATTAATTTATTTATAAATTAGTTGCAATTAATATCATTATCATTATCAATTATTAATTAAATTAAAATATAATTAAAAAATGTATTAATAAATTCTAAATATTTATTACATTAAATTCGTTTCTTGCCATATATTATTATGCATTTTACAAAGAGCGAGACTTACGTAAGCTTAAATTCTCGATAAGAACTGAGTAATGAAGGTCCTTGAAATAAGAGACTTTGAAAGAAATCAAAGTTCATATTAACAGAGAATCCGCGCCAAGTGAATAGTCCTTTCCTTTTTAAAGACCTCGATCTTAGATTCACGACTAATTTCATTCAACGAAATTTCACTCTTAATGAGCGCATTTGATGTAAGGATTATTATGCGCAATAGCACATTGATTTTGCGCATTTCGTTAATCACAAACGAGGATATTAATAAGTTTATTAGGATGACAAATCGATTCGATTCCTTGTCGTTTTATTTCTTACAATCATAATAATAAATTATAATAAATTATAAATATTGATAATCAATAATATCAATAAAATTACAATTCATTAACAGAGGCGACACTTTAAAGCAAGTTTTCATCTTTTTTTTATATATTAAAATCCAAATAATTAATTAATTCTTCTGCTTTATCATTACATTATCATTATGTGATTTAAAATGATTTAATGTAATAAATTATTAAATTCATTTAATTTTAATATTTATGTGATTATCTAATTTAGTATTAGTAAAGTATCTAAATAAATCTTTTATTTACAATTAATAAATTTATTTCTTTTTAATTACTTTTTAATTTTATTTTAAAATATTAGATCAAGCAATAAAAATATTTTTCCAATTAAAATTAATAAATTATAAATTATTTGTTATTAAAAAATTTAAAAATAATATAGTTTTTATTAACATAACAAACGATGTACTATTAAACATGGAAAGAATTTTTTTAAGTAAAAGTTTTAAGTTAAAGTATTTATAAAAATTTAATTAAATACAGGTTTCATATAATAACTTTGTTCAAAATCATAAAAATAATTATATAGAAATTCAAGTTGGTTACTTTTATCAAACTTAAGCATCCTACATAATTATCTTGACGATATATATGGCATAGAAATAGAGAAGAAAATTCTATCATTTGAGTCAATCAAAACAATTAGTTATTTGAAAAATTCTAATGCCGAAATTGTGAAATGGAAGCTGTGTGTGATAATAAGCCTTAGTTTCCCCTACAAAGCAACTAAGTGTATTGCGTTATACAAGTGTAATTACTCGTTGAAAAGTTTGCCCACTTTGTTTATTCGATATAAGGAGTCGGGTCGTAGTATTGTTTAAAGAAAGACCCATGGTCACCGTTAGCAGTGAGGGGAAGTTAATGGCTCCTTTGTTTCGTCCTGAGAGTAGGCGACTTCCATTTTTCATCGGCATCGGTGCGGCTGAGACCGTCGCTTCTTTAGCGGGTTAATCATTTTTGAAGGACCGACCGCAGGTGACGCTGCGTCATATTCCTCATGACTGTGATATTAAAGGACGTCAGGCATTCCCGTCTAGAATTAAATTTCTCGGGCGGGGAAAAGCCCGGTTTAGACAGTCACCCCGGTTGCAGAGGGGTAATGAAACGTCACGAGAGCTGCTGCGCAATTTGTTTTGCATACGGACGACATTTTTCACTTCGTGGAAGAATGGCCTGACGTTCAACTTTTAAGGAGTGCCTGCGTTGCACTCTTGAATTCTAACAGAAGATTCAACAAATCTCAGATACGATTCAATGCTGTATTCGCAATGGGAACTCGGTACATAATAGATAAAATTGCTTCTTACCGCAACATAAAACCTAAAAAATACTTGCACGTATCCTTTTTTACATGATATCTACGGTTCGTCACGTTCGCTAGAGTGAATTTCACAGAAAGTAAGCCATGATAAAAATTCTTTAGATATATACTCGATGTATTGAAAAAATAGCACGTGTAAGATATAATTTTCCGTTTCAGCCTCTGTAAATCTCCTCGTTAATGCTCTGTCTCAACGAGACATACGCGGAAAATATTTTGTTCAAGGACACGCGATATCGCACGTTTCTCTTTTATCGATTTTAGCTATCTCTTTTGAATTTCATGTGAGCAAATCGTGAAAGGATGCAGAAAGAATTGATTGGATTTTAAAATTCTTGCGACTCTGTTCATACTCGTTTCGTGAAAATTATTTATTGACCAAAGTACAGATATGATGACGAGAGATATCAAGGTATTAATTAAGCATTTGCAAAGGGTGGATTTGATAGACGGGTGGATCGAGATGGTCGACGCAGCTAACTAGAGAGACCTTTGAGCACCGACTTGGGCTCTGGAGATCTGTAAACCAATTAGTGACGCCTCGTCGATACGGAGGGCTAAGTCGTCCTAACCGGATCGTTCGGTTAAACTGCTTACTTGATTACATGAGCGTCACTGTAGTCAACCATAGGTGATACTGCTAAATTCCGATCACGTAAAGATTCGTCAATTTTTGGTACTTAGGAACACTTCGGCTGTCACTAATGTCGGAAACGCAATTTTATGGGAAACGATTTTCCGTAGCAATTTTATATGATATTTTCGCTTGTGTTGATATAATTTGTGTTACGGAACAGACTAGAGACTAATAAAAACTTATTGATCGTTTTTATAAATAATATTTAAATACTGTAATTTCGTAGAGTAAAAATGGATTAATTTGTTTTTTACAAATTATTTAAATTTAATTGAGAATTCAGAAAACTGAATAAAGATTTTATCGTTAAAGTTATGTGAAATATTCACGCAGTAAGAATTTTTATCTTCAGAATAATGGAAGAGAGAAAACAGAGAAAAAAGATTTGCTCATACATCCTTGCCTGTAAATATCGTTTTATTAAGTCGCATAGAATGCATCATAGAAAATACGGCATAATAGTAAGAATATAGGGGAGGACTTATAAACTTCGGAATTGTAAACTCCTGAGTATATATTGCGAACGTATCCCGACGAGGGTCACTCGATATACACCGAGCTCCGAGCCGTACGTGCGTTCATGCATCCCTCGGGAGATTACAACAAAAACGCGGGGGAAGATAGCACACAGAGGGGTGGCTACCTAAATTCGAACTACGTGTATATCCGCACGAGATACTTTTTTTTCACCCTACACACGAATGCCCACGGGGCGTTATCATTGCCCTATTAAATTCAAAAATTACTTTTTCTCAAATG